GTAAATAATTGTTTGATCCATATTGATTTAATTAAATTAATTAACTGTTTAATTAAAAAATAAAGATTAACTCAAAATTGGTTTATTTTTAAATCAAATTCATTTTATATTTAAACTTAAACCTAGTATTTTAGAAAAGTTTTAAAATACAACTTATACTATATATAATTAAAAGATTAATATAATATATGTATAAGACAAGTCGGTCAAATCGCTAGTACACCTCATTCACGGAGCCATACTATAAGGGAGTTTTAGGAAGCATCCTATAAAATGACCGCCATTGTGTATCCATTTTTACCTACTGTTCTCTTCTTTGATAGGTGGTCGTTAGCCGAACGAGTTTGATATGATATAATATCATTAATATGTATAATGATATAAAGTAACTAAACCTTTTTTTATAAAATATCACTCTTAGTTAATTTAGGAAAATGTGAAAAGTATGTTAATCCATAGAATTGCACATTATACTTTATTAGTAGTTAATGGAGCGTGTGTGGTTAACCGACACACTAATAGTGACTATAAAGAGTGATAATTGGCATCTCGAAAATTATCATAATTAATGGAGCGCGTGTAGTTAACCGACACGTTAATGACAGATGATAAATGAAAACGAGAGTGTCAAGCATATTTGTATGGTTATTCACATCTTGTTTGTGATCCTCGGTATCCTAGTCACAAATATAAGAGCATAATCTGAGATTAAATATGTCATTGATAGATTCAATGAATCTAAAAAGATCTATGAATTTCATAGTTCGAAATTGGGGAATTGATTTTACCTACCTTTATAAATTCGCGATAAGATTATGACAACCCTCTTCTTATTTGTGAATTTTTATTTTGGAGCATAGCCATAAATATTAATCATGGGTTGAAATATTAAGGATTATTGTCATCTAACTAAAACTATTTTTTATCTATAGATGTCTACTTTTGGTGATGCTTTTTCTCCTCAAAACTCATCCCACAACTTCTCCCTTCTCATAATCGTGTCCAAGGTGACATTGGAAGACACCAACTATAATGATTGGATGTGTAACATGAAGATGGATCTTCGATACGAGGGAAAAGTGTATGTCCTCAAGAAATAACTTATCAAGATCGATGAGTCCACTACTACTCCTGAAGAAATAGTCTCCTACAAGAAACACTATGACGACGCAACTAAGGTTGCGTGCATCATGGTTGCCACAATAATTCCTGATTTGCAAAGGTTCTATGAGGACTATTGGCCATACGTTACAATTGGTAAAAATTGATCAGAGTTTGGCGGTCAAACCACCACGAATCGCTATGTAATAATGACCAATTTTGGGTAATTTTATGTTTAATAAGTATATTAAAAATATTATGTTCATAATCACCTTTTAGAACATCCCAAACTGCTTAAACCGTTTATCGTTGAAGATTGACTAAAAAATAAACAAAAATAAAATGTATTTGTAGCGTTAAAAATAAATTTTTTTTATTAAGTATATTTGAAAGTTATGGATAAGAAAAATGAATAGATTGCGTTTTCTTGATTTTGTGGATATAAAGAACGTCCAAAACGGAGGTCGTATGAGAAAGTTATGTCTCTTTAAAGTTACAAAAAATCAGTATTTATCTGATTTTCCTGAATCAAGCTACGAACCTCGAAAATCACTTTTGAGCACGTTTTTAAATTCAGACTATGGTCTATTATTTTATTTCATTTTTATAAAAAATTTATTCTCGACCAAAATCAGATTCGTAAAATCTCTCGACTTCGGTCCTATTAATCACGAAACTTTAAACGTTAATTCTTTGAATTTGGTATATCGGAATTGAATTATGTCCGTGTTTCTGAAACCACAACGACCGAGACATCAAGCAGACATTTTCAGAAAAAATTCATTAGAAGGTATGATAACACGAGAATCGAAAAATGAGATTTACATCAAAAATATGAATTATATATATTTAAAACACATTATATCTCCAAAAATTCAAATAAAGACCTTGACTTTTGAAAGTCAACCAAGCATCATATTGACTCTTTCTCTCAAATTCCGCTACCCCACTGTCGATTTTTCCTCAAACACACACAAACACCCATATGCACAAATACAAACCAATTGTAGCATGTTTGAATCGAGTATTAAGAACAAAATCAAGAACAGAAAGCATTAAGAACACATATGTAAATAAATTATGTTTGGCTCGTTGATTACGTCTAAACAAGTATACAAGAACACAATAGAGTAAAGAACGAAAATGCCCAAAAGCATTTACAGGGTAATATAGACGCTAACAAAAAAATATGTAAGGACTAGTCATTTGAGCTTCGACATTTATAATTGCCTTACATAATACATACATATTGAATTACTTAACTTCGACATCGACACTACCCAGACCTAAAAGTACTTCAACACCTCACTAGATATGCCAACCCTTACAATCTCCCCTTAGTGAGAAGTGTCGAACTCATGCTATCATCTTCATGGTCTGGTGAAGTACCCGACAAACCTCCATATACCAAATAATTGTCTTTCGATCTTCAACTTTATCTTCTGCACTATTCTTCTTGCAATTTATGATATGAACCAGGAGACTTCTATATTGAGAGTTCGTGTACCTCTCCATATCACAAACTTGAAACAAAAATTTGGTCATCTTCCTGTTTTTGTTCTTTCCAAGAAAAACAACTCCCAAGGGTTTATGCACAATTTCCCCATCAACATAGTCTTTGACATTAATATTCCATTTCATCATTGATTGTGGAACCTTTGAAGTCCTATTGACAGCCAACGATAGCTTGATATCAATAATTGACAAGCAATCATAGTAGTTATCTATGAATACTTTGATATGAGCAAACCCTATCAAGAAATCATCCTTTTTGTTTTCTTGAAGGTTTGACACATCGACAATACTTAACATCTCCGTCACATTAATCAGATCATTCAAGTTCATCAGAGGGAAGTTTGCAATTGAGAAGCCAGATACTACATTGTTTTATCTGACCACAAAATAGCAAAAACTTTGTAGTAAAGCTTCGAACAGACTTTCTCTTGAAATGTTCATCACTTTGACAATCTTTATTGAACACCAAACTTCCTCTTATTTCTTTCCCAAGACTACATGAAATCTCATCTTTAGTCTCTTATATTCTTCTTGATCTTCGAACTGACCAACCAACTTTTATTGTGCAGATACAAACATCATATGATTTATCGAAGTTTTCAATTAACACTTATTTGGAAATTTTCCCAAATCATGCTTCTTCCTTGATGAAAAGACTTGTTCAATTGTTTTATAACACCAATGTTTACTGGGATCACCCTTGTTTAAAACTGGTGGATCACTTTGTCGTTGTCTCATAATGCTGTTAATTTGTCGTTACCTTTCAATTTCCATCTCCAATTTTTTTTCTCTTCTTCAGAAGGAGTAATTTCAATGGCTTTCCCTTTGTCTCCTTTAACATCTTTTGAAGAAGGTGGTTTCGAACTTGAACTTGATCCCCCAACACTTTCTCCAATAACAATGTCTTTCGTTATTGGTCTCGATGTTGTAGTTGTAAAAGTAGTTGTCAGTGAAACTGGAAGTGATGTCGAAATTTGAGTTGATATCACCTTCCCTACAACTTACCCTGATTAGTATCTTTCGAAGAGCTAACACTTTTTTCTCCCCCTTTCACCACATGTTTCGCTGGTGGGGAATTTGTTGGCAATAGAAGCACCAACTTCAGAATGGGTTCAAGCTCTGCCTTGATGTTGGATTCGATGGAAGAGATCATCTTCGAGATAGATTCCTGAGAGACAGCAGATTGCTGAGAAAGATCAAACTTCGAGAAACATTATTTTAAGCTTCCCAAAAACTCCTCCAACTTTTTTAACACTTTAGAATCTTGTTTTGTTTTTGTATAAAGCTTGGTTAAGTACAAAGAATTATACTCGACAAGTTTTGTTATGGCATCAGCAATGACATCAACCTTGCCATGAAGAATGGAGTAATTCTTCTCTAACTTTTCAACTTCCTTCGTCATCTCAGACTTAAGCTCTACCACTTTGAGGTTTACTGATTCATCCACCTTCTTGACTTGCTCAACAAAAATTTCATGACGTTCTTTTGCAACATCACGAAGTTTTGTAACCTCATATTCAAAGTTTCGAGCATTATGATTTAAACGTTCATCATGTTTTTGCTCAATCTGCTCCATAGCAAGCTTAAGATGATTCTCCTGAGACTTGAGCATAATATCCGCTTCAACCCCAGAAAAAAGGTTTCGTCCTCCTATATCAGCTTGAATTTATAACAACGAATTCAGTTTGTGATTGATAATCTTAAATTTTTTTCTTGACATGAGCATGTCTTCAGGAATATTATCTTCTTCAGGATCAATTTGAATTTCTGCAAAAGAAACCATGACATCATTATCATCAGGTTCATCTTCTTGAGAAATCTTTTCTCTTTCTGTGGATTGCAAAGAGAAAAGAGTTGTGATTGGCTCATACATAATGTTGGAGAATTTTTGTGAAATAGTAGAAGCGGGAAGTGTAGATGGTATTGGAGAAGAAAAGTATGGTAACGAAGTGGAAGTATCAATGAATGTGGTTTCGATGGTAGAAGAAAGAATAAGTGAGGTATGAACACTAGAGGTTACAATAGAAGATGTAACAAGGGGTTCGTTATGCATCATCCATTCACCCATAATGACATTTGTGTCCATATCGGATATGTTTACAGGAATGCCTTAGGTTCGAACATCCTCTGTAACAGACTCAATTCTCGAAACCTCGGGTGGTATGACAAGTGCCTTCGCATGGATGATAGTAGATGGAGATTCACTCAAATTGGTGCTTGTATCCATATCAGAAATGTGTACATTGCCACCAAGACTTCCAATCTCCTCGAAAGTCGACTTAACTGGAGAGTCCCTTTGAGGTGTCTCAATGCCAAATCCAATATAATGACGAATAGGTGATCTTTCACTTCCAAAGTCAAGATTAGTTTCAACAAAAACGTCGTCAAGACTTCTTCTTGATCTTTTTGACGACTTCGTAAGCTTTCCGTTTCTTCGAGGCAAGTGATATTGGAACAGGTACATCACGAATATGTGCACCCCTTCGTTTAGGTTGGGGTTTGTGTATTTTCCGTATCCCCTTTGATATAGAAACCTCTTTAGGTGAAGAAAGGGGCTCAACAGGAACTTCTTCAATTATTGTTCTTTCAAGAGAATGACGAGGTCGATGAGCAGGCTTTTTTGTTCTTTTGAGAATACTTGTCTTCGATGGAACAACCTCCTTAGAAACTTCTTTTTCAGCATTCTCGTGAATAGCTTCTGTAACCTCGTTCTCCACTTGTTCAGGAACAAATTTAGTTTGTTCAGTCTTCTTCGATTTCTTAGAGGCTTTAACAACCTTCCATGTGCCTTCAGCCCCATTTGGCAATAAAACCCCAACTTGAACATTTGGGTTAACAGTTGTCAAATATTGAACAAGAATCGGATTGGCCGGATCAATGCTTCGTAACATGGCATAAGGAATTCGATCCACATTCGGAAACGGAACTGGATCATTAGTAACAACTTTAGGAGTCTGATACGTCGAAAACTCTGCCTTTGCATCCTCCGATGGAACCAAAATACCCTATTTCTCATATACATCCTTTAATATCAAGCTCCAATACCTCGAACAAGATACACCATTCATGACATTGGTGTGAGAAATTCTTGTACCAAATTCTTCCCAAAGCTGTGTGACATAATCGACATTAAGATCATAGTTAAGACCTGCAATCTTTGCATGAACCTCTAACTTTTCTTTATCAAGCCCGTACTACGACCAGTCAAGCATCATTGAAAAATACCAAATAAGAAATTCCACATACAGGGCAAAGCAAACTTTCAAAACTGACTGATTCCAGTTAGAGGTGGTTGATGATCCATGTCATTAAACATGTAAACAATTTCTTCATTCGTTACGTCATAGAACAGAGCTGTATATATAGAAGCTTCATGATTTAAGCAAACTGCCGCTTGGTAAGCTTATACAGTTTGTCATTTATCAGTTGGTGTGTAACCAATTTTATCATTTTGTTAAACACCACCGTTGATACCGCCAGTGATAACAAGGTCATATGAGAAAAGACGGAACACGACATAACAGTTGAAAGAACAGAGTGATTTAGGGCTACAATCAACATCTACAACTGTTCAGGATATTGCGTTACATCTGTTTGTACACGAATATTTGAGATTTGAATCCTCATCAATGGCTGGGAAGTTGTTTCTTCAGTGGTAGTGATTGATGGATCAATATGACCAGTTGGTGCCGCCATGATTAGGGTTTGTGAGAATTATGTAGCTACGATTATCGTGAAAGAATATTGAGGAAATTTTGACCAAAGAGCATAAAGTCTTCAATTTACTCCACCAAAATCTTTTTATAATCAACGTAGAATTTGAACTTGAACCGCTAACCAATCATATCCTGCCACATGTTGCCTTGTTTATTGGGTCGGTTTCCGTAAAAGTCGCCATGCCAGATAAAGTGATCATCATAATTTCCTAAAAACCCGTGAAAAACTGAACCGTCACCTCCGTCGAATGTTTCATTGATCCCAATGAGATTAGAGCCGTCACTTGTTTCGAACTGTCATCATAGAGTTTCATCATCAAAAGAACACTTGGCCTTCGCTATGAGGTAAGGCTCATTCGCTTTTGGGATTGTAAAGAGAAATCATATGCCACACTTTGCGAAATCTAGGTTTTAGTTGGTATTACCCAAAACCTCGAGGATTCCAGTGCGAATGTGTGCCAAAGGAATAGCAGGAATTAATATAAAAAAATGTGCATATAGTGACATCAAAGAATATCTGATGTAAAAGAAGTTGGATGCCGGTTTCGAAGGTAGGCATAATTTTGTTCAATACTACAACTTAACATAAGTGTGGATTGATTGAACAAAATTACTTGTATGACCAGTGTAGTCAAGAACAAGTGTGAGGTTGAAGAATATATCAAAGTGACAAGAGTTGGAAAAGATAATTAGATGGAAATCATATTCCAAACAAAATTAAGAACTGGATCCTGTTGGGAAAAAATGTCTTGGTTAAAGAACATTTTATCAAGATCATGCATAACAACAATAATATGATTTTGAATATCAAAATGTGGTACAAAAACAAATATTTTGTTAAAATCTTGAACATAAAGCTCACCATCAATTCCATAAGAGTTGGGATTGTTGAGTTTCACCATCATCATGGAAAAATGAATCAGGATCATAAAAACAAACTTGTGCAATATCTACATTCTGGTTGGTTTCTACCAGAGATGTCGAGGATATGCAGTGAAGTGTGTGATTGTGAAGAAATATGTTGGTGAAAAGTTTGGTTAAGAAAACGCATTGTACCTCTGCGAATGATATGGACTTTGTAGAAATCTCTTAACTTCAAAATGAGAAAAGAAAGGTAGCTCTTCGACTAATGTGAATATAGCCTGATTGCGAAGGAACACTCGTAGTGAGAGATCCATTAAAGCTTCGAAACACATAGAGTGTTTGAGGCTTAAGGTCAATATACAACATCATGCTTATAGGGACACCTAACTAGTATAGTAGTTCGAAATCATACATGTCCCTCTTTGAAAGTAATCAAATGAGCATTCGCCACCACTGTATGTTGATACCGAGACACAGAAAAGGTTAAACACACAAAATAAAATAAAGCAAATCTTTTTGGAATTTTGTTTTTGAAATTCAAAGACAAAAATAAGAAAATCTTTTTGGATTTTTTTTTCTTTTTTTGTTTTTGAAAATTTAAAGACAAAAATAAGAAAATATTTTTGGAAATTTTTTTTTTGAAAATTTAAAGCCAAAAATAAGAATATCTTTTTATTATTATTTATTTTTTTACTTATTATTTTTTTTTTTGAAATTTAAAGACAAAAATAAAGCAATAAATGTTACCAAAGACGGTCGATTTAAGAAATACCAACTTCTAGAGACAGTGTACATCGAACAACATTTCTTCCTAGATAAAGCAGGTTGATTCGAACCACTCAGAGGAATTTCGAAATAGATGGTAGTCGAAAGTTGAATAGTGAACAGTAACCTCTGAACACTTAAGCAATACTTCAACATCTATTGATTCACTATGATGACGAACCAAGAAATGAGCTTGGATCAATCATTCCTAAACCATTCAAGATCCTTAGAAATGATTTATCATCCAAAGGTTTTGTGAATATGTCTACAAGTTGATCTGTCGTTTTAACAAAGTGCACCTCGATGTTACCATCTTCGACATGATCCTTGATAAAATGATAGCGAAGAGGTATGTGTTTTGTCTTTGAATGTTGAACAGGACTATCACAAATACGAATGGAACTTTGTGAATCACAATATAAAGGGATCTTCTTCATATTGATTGCGTAATCACGAAGTTGGCTTTGAATCCATATGATTTGAGAAGTGCAAGCTGCAACAGCAACGTACTCTGCTTCTGTTGTGCAAATCGAAACACATGTTTGTTTCTTCGATTGCCAGCTTACAAGGTTCCCATCTAAAAGTTGATAGCCACCAGTTGTGCTTTTTTCTGTCATGTTGACACCCACCAAGGTTTGCATCAGAAAATGCTTGTATGAAAAACCCAGTCTTTGAAGGGTACCATAATCCCAACGAAACAGTTCCTTTGAGATATCAAAATACGTTTTTCACGGCTGTTATATGGGGTTCTCTGGGATTCGATTGATACCTGAAACAATTGCAAATAACAAAAATGATATCAGGTCTAGTAGCAGTTAAGTACACTACATAACCTATCATGTTTCTGTACAAAGTGAGATCCACAACAGACTTATCCAATGAAGGACCTAAGCATGTGCCGACTGCCATCGGTACTTTCAATTTTGAACTATTAGTCATGCCAAATTTCTCAAGTATTTTACGAGAGTACTTCTCTAGATTTATGAAAATACCTTCTCTTATTTTGACTAATAATCAATCCCAGAAACTTTTTTATCTTACCCATCATGCTCATTTTGAACTGGATTTTCATCATATTTTCGAATTTCGTAGACAACGAAGGGTCAGTTGGGCCAAAAATAATATCATCAACATAAATTTGAACTAACATAAGATGATCCCCTACTTTCTTTCGGAATAGAGTAGGAGCAATTGATCCTTGTTTAAATTTAGAGAGTTAAAAAAATTGTTAAGAGTAGCATACCAGGCTTGAGGTGCTTGTATTAAGCCATAAACAGCCTTATCAAGTATACAACAATGATCAGGAAATTTTTCATTTACAAAACTTGGTGGTTGTTCGACATAAACAGTTTCTTCTAAGAATCCATTGAGAAAAGCACACTAGACATCTATTTGGTACACTTCAAAGTCTTTATGTGTTGCATATGCAAGAAATATTCGAATAGTCTCGAGTCTTGTGGCAGGGGAAAAGGTTTCATAATAGTCAATACATTCTTGTTGCGAATATCCTTTAACGACCAATCTTGCTTTGTTTCGAACAACATTGTCTTCATTATCCGTTTTAATTTTAAAAATCAATTTTAATTCAATGACCGAAACATCATCACGTTTTGGAACTAGTCTCAAAACCTTATTTAGTTTAAATTTAGCAAGTTTATATTGCATTGAAACAATCCAATCAGGATCTTCCAATGCAACCTTAACTGTTTTCTGTTCCATTTTGGAAATAAACACATTAAACATACATCATTCTTGGTGAACATCTAGTATCTCATTCTTAGCTCGAATTTATGCACACGTCATAACTCCAGCTTGAGGATCACCAAGAACCTGTTCTTTTGGATGGTTTCGTGTCCATTTGTCCATCGGTAGATATGCAGGATCAAAATCCAAAGGTGTGTCTTCGAATATTTCATCCGCTTTAGAACCTTCACGTGCATTCGACACATTATCAGAAACATCATGAAATTTGTTAGTTTGATGAGTAGAAACATGAGATAGTGATCTATTTAGCTCCCCCTCGACTAATCGATTTGGATTGTGATGCTGGCCCTCGACATCAACATTGTTCTATCCTTGATCCCCCCGAACTGATGTGTATTTTGATCATGGTCCCCCTCAACAGTTGAATCACGAATATGATCCTATGACATCGATCACAAGGGCTCCCCCTCCACTTAACTACCCTAAAAAACAGGTAGACGTTTAACATCTACTTGTGAGGTTGAGGTAGAATGAGAATCATCTTCTTCCTTAGTCACCGTCGAATCATCAGAATGCTTCGATGCTTCAGGAATTTGATTATCATCAGCATGAACTTCAGCATCTATGCCTCTATCTGGAACACCAAAAATTAAATCATAATCAATATCAAAAGAATTCACAATTGCTGACTCATTATTCATTTCAGAAATAATTGGCTTTTGTGTGAAAGTTTGTTCGACATGTTTAACGTGATAGTCATCGAAAGTTAGATTGAATGTTACCTCAATCTTCCTTGTTCTCTTATTCAACACCCTATATGACATTGAGTTGTGTGAGTATCC